GGTTTAGGGTTTCGATGGGCTCCAAACTTACTTACATGCCTGGGAAATTATTGTTTCAAACAGCAAAAGGAAGGTCAGCTCTTCGTCACCGAGAAAAACAACGAGCGTAACCAGAAAGGGTTTGTGAGCGATTTCAATAAAAATGCGAAGATGGTCTCGGCAAAACATGGAAAAACCCTGAATTCATTTTAATGTAAATTTTTAGTGATCGTCATAACTTCTTTAAGGATAAATTTCATAGAAGGGACGCAGTTGTCGAAGAAATGCAATTAACTTAAAACACGTACTTTTCAGTAGACATTTTCTAACCGCGGATGAAAAATCTAGTGTATTTGAAATAGACGGAGCAGGTACTACTTTCGGTAGATAAGCAGGGAGTTTAAGCATCGACGACGGCGACGGCAGCGAAAACGTCGCTTTTAAAATGAAATAGCGTTTTTTCAAACTTTGTCGCGTTAATTATTCCAATTCGCCGAGTTGACTTCTTGGAGACCGCACTCAAGTTTAAGAAGACTGAAAGAAAATTTCGTCGTCGCTTGTTTACGTCTTCCATAAAAAGTGAAATTAGGCATTTTCACGTCGTAGTTGTACAGTAACGGCAAAGGAATGTAAAAAAGCGTGTTGCACGTGCAAGCTTGTTGTTTTGCTTAATATACCTATTGCTTTTGACGTTCTCCTTGCCGTCGCCGTCGTCGTTGTTAAAACTCCCTAATATCTATCAGGATGGGGCTGAAGTTCTGCGTACATTCATTGCACTGTAAGGAAGTTAAATCGAATGAACAAAGAAGACTTGAAAGGTATAAGCTTATTAATTACACATTTAGCTTACATTGTTTATCGAAACATTCAGTCGCATATAAAAAAGCTGAAAAAGAAACGATCGACGTATGCACTTTTCACTCGATTAGAAGTTGAACACAGATTGCATTATTAAGCAGTTTAAACCCCATTTTACAGATGTACACAAGAGTAAAATAGAATAACAAGTTTGAAATTTTAGGGAATCAAATATTGACATTTTAACAAAATTTACCATTTTCAAACTCGAGCTTACTTCTTCTTTTGGCTCCAGTCGTTGTTTTTTTTCATTTCTCTGTCAGTGCGACCATATCTTCCCACAGGTTTGTTGTTTGAAACAGATATCAGGCCCGTAAGGAGTAGGCGGACCAAACGAGGCCGGAGGAGTAAGTCTCCAGGGGGGACTAGGTTGTCACGAACGTTTTGAAAAACATGGATATTTCTCAAAAATTGGAACTTGAAAATTGATTTTTTTGACAAGGAGATAACTTTATTATTATCTGTTAGATGGTGGGTGTACATAAGAGCCAGTGAAGAGAGCCTCTTTTGTGCCGCGAGTATTACTTTCTTGCCACAGAAAACAGCAGATATTTTACACTATGCTCAGAGACAAAGGGCTACTCAATTAAAAACGAACAATGTTTATCTTCATCTCCTTCAAGCACAAGTGGACCCGAGATCCACCCTTTGTAATTGGCTGTTTAACGGGCAATTCGAAAACGAGAAATCCCATGATCCCTGAAACGCTCGATAAATGCGTCCAGTCAGAAACGGTAGTACCGCTCTCGCCACAAAAGTAAACAAACTTAAGAGTAATATTTCTCCCTAGCTAGCAGCTGTCACGGCAATGACTGCAAATGGAGGAGTAATAACATCATCGGTCTTCAGTATTAAGATTCGCAATTTTGTAATTTACATGAAAGGGCAGTGGAGTTGACTGATGCATGCAACACTACCAGAGAAGGGTAGCTATAATAGGAACTTCGCAATATCCTGCAAGGAACACAAAACTGTTAAAATAACAATTCAGATCCAACACTTTGCAGAAAACTGTGGAATCAAACCCTAAAGGTTGTGGGGCCGCTTTGAAAAATAAGACAGGAAAATCCTAAAACCTAAAGCTAGCGATCAGAGGTCAATTTCTAATCGAGTAAAGATGAGACACTACAGGAATGTTATTTCTGACGAATGAGCCCGCGAAGAAGGCAGAAATAAATATTTTGACGGCACGAGATACAACAGGGCCTGGGTACTAGGCCGGGTGCACCATGGGTAGCCATATCGGGGGTATATAAGGCTGCGTATATCACGTGTTCGTCATCTAGGCTTACGAACCAACCTCTCCTTGGTTTTTCTTAAATTTTTGTTTTATTTATTTTTAGGAGCAACATATTCTCGATTACATTGTAAAGTCCCGTAGGAAGGGCTTTGAGCTTGAGCCTTGGTTCCTACCCAGATTTCCTGCCCGCATTTTTTCCCTTCGGGGTTTTTTTTGGGCAGGTTTTTTCTGGCCTCCGTCTGACCGCATTTACTTCAGTTTGTAAGCGGTAGCTCAGCTCTGCTAGTTTTCAGCCTTTTTCCCGTTTCTTATTTTATGTACTTGTACACTAGTTATCTCAGTTTTGCACCTGCTCCTTTACTTAATATATTTAGTTTCCATGTATGCTTAGGTCAGCTGTCCCGGAACCGCTCTTTAGGAGGCGACGTAAGTCTCGTTTGACGCAGTTAGGTTGCAGGCAATGTTACAGACCTCTAGCCAGGGTCGTTATTCATTGTTTACCCTCAATGTTACGCCCTAGCCTTTTATGGCAGTCTTACTGGTTATTGGGCTACGTGCCTTGTTGGGTACATTAGTGGAGATAATTCCCAGTTTTCCTGGCACTCAGCCTCTGTGCTCCTGAAGTGTTCCCGGTCCCAGTTATACGTTGATCACAGTTTTATTAAATTTCCCCGGCCTAACTGGCACTAAGCCTGCGTGCTTATTTGGGGGATTCAGGTCGAGATCGACCAGTTGTAGCAGTTTTTTCTTTTTGCTTAGCCTCTGTGCTCCTACCGTGTTCCTCGTGCCAGTTATGCGTTGTCTGAGTTTTATTAATTGTTTCTCCAGCCTCTGGCAGCCTTTGTGTGCTTATTTGGGGGATTCAGGTCGAGATCGACCAGTTGTAGCAGTTTTTTCTTTTTGCTTAGCCTCTGTGCTCCTACCGTGTTCCTCGTGCCAGTTATGCGTTGTCTGAGTTTTATTAATTAGTTTCTCCAGCCTAACTGGCACTAAGCCTGTGTGCTTATTTGGGGGATTCAGGTCGAGATCGACAAGTTGTAGCAGTTTTTTCTTTTTGCTTAGCCTCTGTGCTCCTACCGTGTTCCTTGTGCCAGTTATGCGTTGTCTGAGTTTTATTAATTAGTTTCTCCAGCCTAACTGGCACTAAGCCTGTGTGCTTATTTGGGGGATTCGGGTCGAGATCGACCAGTTGTGAGGAGTTTTTTCTTTTTGTTAGCCTCTGTGCTACTACCGTGTTCCGTGTGCCAGTTATGCGTTGTCTGAGTTTTATTAATTAGTTTCCCCAGAATGACTGGCAGCCTACCTGGCACTAAGCCTGCCTGCTTAAATGGGAGATTCAGGTCAAGAGCGACCATTTGTCGCACGAGTTTTATCTTTTTGTGAAAGCTAGTTTACAAGTGTTGTACATTAGGTATTCACCAGTATTCACCTATTATTGTATTTACATAAATACTTTGTAGGGTTGGTTCTCGCCAAGCCGTCCCAAAATAAACTTATTTGCTATTACGTTTTGTCTGTTGATGTTGTGTAGTGGAGTCAAAATAATTACTGTACAGCACCAGACGACATGAGCTCGCAGTGAAAGAAACATTTGCTAAATCCACACTACGAATCCTCCAAAACTGACTTTACCAGTTAAGGACAAATGAAGGAGCAAGTGACGTATTAGGAAGGGGTAAATGCAGGGGGGAGGGGGGGGGGGGAAGGTGTCTCCAAGGAAATCTGTGGTACAGTCCGCCTGCCAGTATGACGTCACGTCTCGCGTCAATGACTTTCAAAATGGCGAGCAAAGTGTTCATCGAAGAGACGGATAAAAATTTCGATTTTATCACCGAAATACTGTTCCGATTTCTTGGATTTGGAGAATTTAAGGTTTCTATTGTCATAGAAAACTAGATTTAAGGACTTTTTTGGAAAGCAATGTCCAGTGGCATAATGAATTTTAAAGATTCCTTTCTATCGTCGAGCAAATTTTACGGGCAATCATACCGACCGGTCACACTTTTGAGGGCCAGTGCACAGCAAGATTGAGGAGTTTAGACACACAAATAGGACGTTCATCAAAGAATGTATTATACTTTACATTGTGCGTATTTTCAGCTCTTCAGAGTTAGTGAAACCCCCTATCATTCCTCTCACAGTTCGCTTTGCTGTAGCGTTGAAAGAGGAAGCTAAATGACAGGTATTTGTGAGAGACTGTTAGCATGGAATCTTGTTGCTTTACCGCATTTTAATATTGTATTGGGCATACACCTGTAATTCTGTAATTGAATTGCGAAAACGGAAAAAGGTTTCGTTTAATTATTTTTTGGGGGCAAACCCAGTGGAGGTTTCAGGGTAATAATATTGATGATTAAGACGATGTACAAAAGGCAAGTTTAACTTTCGCCAGTGGGTCAATGGTGGGTGTTGGGTGTAAATTAGTACAGTTTGTGGTTTACTGTGTTTGTTTGTCATGATATCAACTAACACTGAAAGAAATTCAGCTTTTTCAGAGGAGGGACATGTGCCCACTAGTAGCGAAAAGCGCGGGCTTTTTGGCGGCAAAAAAGGATTAAAGTCTAGCTTTAACTAGCTAAAAGTTTTTTATTCTCAATATTTTTGACCAACTAGTTGGATTTTACTAACACAATTATTCCTCTTGCCCTCATGGCCTCTGAGTCAATAGCCCATGAGGCCGAAACTCGGAGCCCATTCAGGGTCGAGGAATAATTTTTAAATATACACTGTATATATCCGATGATCGACAACAGTGAGTTTTAAAGCTAATTTGTATTAACTGTCTTTTTACAGTGTCATTCCATGCCATGACAGCTGGGTGTTTTAGTTGACTGACTTGACTGTGGACTGCATCACAAGTGGGGTCCTGCGCAACACTCGATGCAAGTTGTAACACCTCTGACATTAATTATTCGTCCGAGTT